GGGGGTCCCACTGGCCTTGGGCCGGAAGAGGCTGCCCTGCTGGATGCCGCTGCTGTTGGCCGCGGTGGCGTGGTCCGGCTCCCCCGAGTCGCTCTCCGTGTAGCTGTAGGCCTGGGCTCGAGAGATGCCCTTCTGCTGCCGCCGCCAGGAGTTGTAGTAGGTGGGGTCGCTGATGTAGTGGTTGACGAAGGAGTGGGCCTTCTGGTGGTTCTGGTCGACCTCGTACTCGCTGTCGCTTCCCTGGGGGGACAGAGATCGGGTGTCAGGGGCCGTGGGGATATGCGGGGTGCTCGGCGCTGGGAGGTGCGGAGGGCTCTGGTCTGAATGTCCGCTCGGCCTCTTCCAGCCCCGGACCGGGGGCCCTTCGGCTCCCCGCACGGCCCCGAGGGTATGGTGCCCCCTTTGGCCTGCCTTGTGCGTCCTTCGGAGCAGGTCCTGGCACAGAGCCTGCGGATTTTGTATTTTTTGTGTGAATCCTCACCCGAGGATATTTCGCCATTGATTTTTAGGGAGAGAGGAAGAGAGAGGGAGAGACGGAGAGAAATATCGATGTGTGAGAAACACATGGATTGGTTGACTCCTGCACGTGCCCTGACCAGGGCCTGGGAGGAACCTGAGTGACATGACCTTGACAGGAATTGAACCCGGGACCCTTTGGTCTGCAGGGCGACGCTCTACCCACTGAGCCAAACGGGCCAGGGCTCAATGTGTGTCTTTTGTGTCTGGCTTCCTTCCCTGCGCGGAGTGTTTTTGAGGGTGAATGAACCCTGCCTTTTTATTTTGGGTATTTCTCATGCTTTGACACCTGGGGCCTTGCTGCCCCTGGAGGGACTGCCCCTCCCAGGGGGGGTCCATCCTCAGACGATGAGCTGATTTCAGAGCCCACAGCCCCCCGAATGGGCTCCCACATGCTCACCCACCGCTCCCTGTTCCTAACCACCCCAGGGCCAGCCCCTACCCCCCAGAGCCCCTGAATTCATTGGCCTCCCCTAAGCCTGCTTCCCCGGCTTTGACTTTCCCGTGGGCACCACAGTCAAGGTTCCTGCTCCCCTGCCTGCTGGCGGCCCCGGGGCTTCCCCAGGGGGTCCTGCATGGCACCGTGTGTGTGCCTTCTTCTTGGGACCTGTGAGCCGCAAACCATCTTTCAGAGGCCACTGTCTCCCGACCTGTTGGCCTCGCCAGACCTGAATGATAACAAAACCTACGTTTCAAAGCAGAGGTTCACGCCGGATAAACTGAGCGTCTGCCTAGGTCCAGCCCCTGACTTACTGCGTGACGGGGGCCAGGGCCAGGGCCAGGGCCAGGAGGGGAGACCTGTAGAGGCTCCTGGCACTGCCCACCCACGTGGGATCCGGAATGAAAGCCACACTCAATCATACAACCAGCATGAGAACAAGAGCCACAAGCATTCCGATGGTCACCCGAGGACCATCCCGAAGCTTTTGAAAAGCAATAGGAGGCATTACATTCGTTCTTAACATTGCTGGGACCGGGTGTCCTTGGCTTGCACTCCATCTGCCTATCGGGGAACCATCACGAGGCAAGAGTCGATCTGGGATGTGAAGTAAAATGGCATCGGCATCGGGAGCTGAACTGTGCAGCTAAAAATAGCATCGCCCTCCCCCACCCCAAGCTCCCGGCAGTGTTTGGAGAACGAAGAAGGCAGCAGATGGGACCGCCCTGACAACTAACTCTCTGGAAGAGAGGCTCTCGGATGTTAGCGAACAGCACACGCCAAACAGAACACAGCACAGGGCCCTGGCCCGGTGGCTCAGCTGGTTAGAGCATCATCCCGATACGCCAAGGTTGTGGGTTCAATTTCTTGGTCAGGGTACCTACAAGGAGCAGCCAATGAATGCGTCCCTAAGTGGGGCAAGGGGCAACACATCGATGTTTCTCTCTCTCTCTCTCTCTCTCTCTCTCTCTCTCTCTCTCTCTTCCCTCCTTTGTTTCTCCCCCACCTCCCCCATTCCTCTGTCTCTGCAAAAAAAAACAACAAAACAAAAAACGCAGTTCAGAAGACTGTACTCAGGTTGCCTCATTTCTGCCCAGCAAATGCGCGCTTGGAGCAGCAAGTGAATGTCCTCAGCCTCAATAAAACACACTCGAGAAACACACTACAGCCAGGAGCCCAGTGAGCCCAACGCAAACGAGCCTGGGACCATCAGCGCGTCCTGCTTTGCAGGTAGGGATGCGGGAGAGCTGGCCTTGCCCACTCGGTCCGAGCCGTGGGATCTGTAATGTGCACGTGTTCTTACGCAGTTCAGAAGACTGTACTCAGGTTGCCTCATTTCTGCCCAGCAAATGCGCGCTTGGAGCAGCAAGTGAATGTCCTCAGCCTCAATAAAACACACTCGAGAAACACACTACAGCCAGGAGCCCAGTGAGCCCAACGAAACGAGCCTGGGACCATCAGCGTGTCCTGCTTTGCAGGTAGAGAAGCGGGAGAGCTGGCCTCGCCCACTGGGTCCGAGCCATGGGATCTGTAATGTGCACGTGTTCTCGGGAACCGAAAGTCCCCTATGGCCTCTAGACCCTCAAGAGCAGTATCTACAGTGCACAGAACCATCGTGACACCATCTACGGAAACGCGACCTGAGTTCCCTGCTGAATTGTCACACCTCTGCCTGCAGCCAGTGAATTGTCACACCTCTGCCTGCAGCCAGTGAATTGTCACACCTCTGCCTTTCGCCCAAAGAAATGAAGAGCTGGGCTTGAACTCAGAGCTGCCTGATTTTTCCAAAGCCCACACATGCCCAGAGGTCACAAGACGGGGAATGAGAGCCCTGTCCCCTCCCGGGTGATAAATGCTCCCTAGTCAGTCTGCTAACTTATGTCCGCTGGCCCCCCTCCTCCTCCACACCCTCTCAGTCCCTGCCGCTGACCCTCACCCTCCTCACCCCTCTTCCCAGCAGAAAACCCCAAGACCAAGGCATGGGAAGTCCCTTGCTGGTCTCCCCGGGACGAGGTGCAGCACAATACGAGCCCCTTTCTCTGCCTCCTGCCCAGCTGCCGGGCCAGGAGGGAACAAAGGGGCCGCACAGACACAGTGAAGTATGGTAGCAACCATCAGGTAGAAACTGTAGTTTAACTCTAACCCTGCTGTCACCTCTGCCTGCAGCCAGTGAATTGTCACACCTCTGCCTTTCGCCCAAAGAAATGAAGAGCGGGGCTTGAACTCAGAGCTGCCTGATTTTTCCAAAGCCCACACATGCCCAGAGGTCACAAGACGGGGAATGAGAGCCCTGTCCCCTCCCGGGTGATAAATGCTCCCTAGTCAGTCTGCTAACTTATGTCCGCTGGCCCCCCTCCTCCTCCACACCCTCTCAGTCCCTGCCGCTGACCCTCACCCTCCTCACCCCTCTTCCCAGCAGAAAACCCCAAGACCAAGGCATGGGAAGTCCCTCGCTGGTCTCCCCGGGACGAGGTGCAGCACAATACGAGCCCCTTTCTCTGCCTCCTGCCCAGCTGCCGGGCCAGGAGGGAACAAAGGGGCCGCACAGACACAGGGCTCCATATGCCAAGAGTGGGAGGGGTGGGGGGGGCACCTGCTGCTGGGCTGTGGTGAGGTTGGCTCGGAAGCAGAGAGGTCTGGGCAGGCAGTAGTGATGCCATGAGGCAGGAGGCTGGGGGTCCCTCTGGTCCAGGGGCAGCAAGGGTTGGTGAGGGGTGGGGGGCTGAAGGGAGAGCCACAGTCTCTCTAGCAGGGCACCCACTGACTGGCTGGGACAGTTGCTAGAGGTTTGAGAACTGTGGCCGGCCCTGGGCCTCAGTCTTGGGGAGGAATCGCGAGACCACTTCGGGCCCATCCCAGAGGGGATGGTGTCTGGGGTAGGAGGTGACTGTGGGAGCCTCTCTGGGCTTCAGCATCCCTGTCTGGAAGATGGGTGGGTCCCTGCAGGCCGGAGGGTGAAATGAGCTCCATCAGCAAGAAGGCTGTGAAAGGTATTGTTAGGGAGAGAGCGAGGGTGGGTCTGGGTGGGAGGGGCCTGGAAGCCCCACCAGGAGGGATCAGAAGAGGCCAGGGGGTGGGGGAGGCTGACTCTGCTGGGGCAGCTCCTACCCTCTCCCCTCCCCCACATCCCACCCCTTGTCGAAGGGGGAGGCCTGTCTGGGAGGCTGGGGAACTGGTCTCTCGGCGGCGCCCCGTTGCGGGGCTCAGATCCCAAAGCTCATTCATCCAATCACGTCCCTGGCGCCTGCTACCATCTGTTGAGCACCTACTGCCCACCAGGAGGGATCAGAAGAGGCCAGGGGGTGGGGGAGGCTGACTCTGCTGGGGCAGCTCCTACCCTCTCCCCTCCCCCACATCCCACCCCTTGTCGAAGGGGGAGGCCTGTCTGGGAGGCTGGGGAACTGGTCTCTCGGCGCCCCGTTGCGGGGCTCAGATCCCAAAGCTCACTCATCCAATCACCTCCCTGGTGCCTGCTACCATCTGTTGAGCACCTACTATGTGCCAGACACTCTGTGGGGCAGCATTCCTGATGGGGGAGGGGGAAGGGAGAGAAGGAAGAGCTGGGAGCCAAACGGGCTGGGGGTTAGCTTCCCGCCTGCCTCCTCCCCCCAGCTCTCCCAGGCCAAAGGAAGGGGTTCTTGCATCAGCGCCTGCTCTCGGCCTCCTTCTCCGGGAACATCTGTTTCTTTTCTGAGTGGGGGTGGGGTGAGAAGAGAAGAAAGCGAGGGGGGACCAGGGGCTCCCATTCGGGCTTTCAACTCTCGAGCGCGGCCCTCGGTAATTGAATGCAGCTTCCCAGTGACGGCCCAGCACAAAGGGGGCCTTTCATGGGCAGCCCCGCCAGGCGGCCAGGCAATCAGGCAACTGTCTCAGCTCTGGGCCTCTTAACAGCAACTCAAAGCTACTCAATCAGCAATTACCAGGGCCTGAGGGGGGAGGGAGTACGGGGGAGCTCAGACTCCAGCCCTGGTGATGGGAGCCAGGAGGGGGCCAGCAGGAGGAAGGACCCCAAGAAAAGACAGGAACAAAAGAGAGGGAGCAGAGGAAAGAAAACCTTTCGCTTTTCTGCTCGTTTCTAGAGGCGGGAATTCGGCACCAACTCAGCAAGAGATGGGAGGGTTCCATACAGGCTTGCGGGCGTGTGTGGAGACCCTGGTGCCGGGCTGGGTGCCCTCGTCCTGCTGGGTCTCACCATGTCACGCGGGAACGTCTTGCCCAGATGACAGGAGGTCACCCCGTGCAGCCCCTTTAGGGACTGCTCCCAGGGCTGTGGTCTCAGGCGCTGCCTGCACCCAGTCCAGCCTGAAGCCAGCATGAGTCTGTCCCCTCCGATGCCTTTACCCTGGAGCCAGCCCTGGAGCCAGCCCCTCCTGCACAGGCTGTAGCCTGGGGCTCAGCGGTGGGGCAGGGTGGGGGGACATGCTCAGGGTCTCCCTCTCTGCTCGCCCTCTGGAGGCACAATTTTGTCAGGGTTCGGGTCTCCTGGTACTAAAATAGCTGGGAATCTCCCACGAATGTCCTCGGAAACGTTCATCTCAGACACAACGTCACACAGGCTACCTGTGTCCTTACAGATCAGGTGACAGCCAGTGTGTGCCCGCCCTCAGCTGTCAGAGGCCGCCCTGTGGCCAGGGCAGTGTGGGGTGTGGGGTGGGGTCAGGGTCAATCTCCCCTCTATGCCGGGCAGCTGGGCGGGGAGGCCAGGCTGCAGGGGACCCGGCCTCAAAGCCAGCCGGACCTAGACTTAAATCTCCACCGGCTGCGTTTCTGAGCTCTGTGACCAAAGGCATGCTGCTTGACTTCAGAGCCTCAGTTTCCCCAACTGTTAAGTGGGGATCTTCCCATCTGCACGGCAGGGCGGCAAGACGTTGAATGAGAATGTAGAAAGCGCAGGGCTCGGCACAGCCGGTGCCCAGCAAGTGCCATCTCCTCCTCCCCAGTCTCCCTTCGTCCTGCCTGCAGCGTGTTTACAGTTTGGTACAATCGGGGCTCCTCCCGGCTAAGGAGAAGCGGGAGACGGGCCTCGCGGAACCTATGAGACTCGTGGTCCAATCTGATGGACAAGAGCGAGCACTGAGAAAGGGTGGGACGTACTCAGCAGAGGGAGGGCGGTGGCAGAACTCAGATGGAACTCCTGAAAATGAAGTGTGGCTTCATTCACCACCACGGCAGCCAGACATGAACCCACACTCCTCCCTTCTATGCATGAGCCAGTCCTGTCACACTTCCGGCCGAAATGCCACCTCCTCCAGGCAGCCCTCCCGGGGCTTCCAGGAGATCTTCCCCCAGGATTTCTCACGGTGCTTTCTCTGCGCTGCAGGAGACAGGAAGCCCTTGGCTCACCACTTCCCTCCCGAAGTTAGTTACTGTGGTGACAATACTTTAATGAGACATGAAAAGGTGACTATTTACACACATGGGGTCTTCCCTCACAGATCACAATACAACATTCATAAGAGCCTGCCTTGCTCATTACTGGAGCCGCCACCTGTACACGGTGCCTGGTACTGTTTAGCGGGTGCAGAACAAATATCTGCTGAACAAATGCACCAAGGAAGGAATGAAGGGGCTCCATGGAGGACAAACACAGTGCTTACCCCTCCCAGCTGCCACAGAGAGCCCAACCTGTGCGTGGTGGCGCACAGTAGGTGTGCAGGAGGCCTAGAGGCGGAGCCTGGCTTCCTTTAGGGGGCTCCCCCCACCCACTCTTCTCCTTGTCTTTACCTGAAAATAGCGATAAACCCACCAGGTTTCCTAGAGCAGCGGTCGCCAACCTTTCAGACCACACGGACTGCCAGTGGTCCGCGGACCACCGATTGGTGGCCGCTGTTCTAGAGGGTTAGGTGGTGCCATTCTGGAATAATCCTTGGCGTCACTCCTGGAGTGGACTCCATAAACGTTCACTATTTTGATGGGGTTCTCAATAAAAACGACATAAAGTCTGATTTGTCCTGTATGTTTCTGTACTTCTCCACATCGGCTTAATTTCATCACAATGAGCTCAGCCGGGCCGCCAGGATCGCACAGAGAATGGAGCAGCCATCAGGAGCGGGTGCCGGCTTGGAACTTCCTTTCCACGGAGCTTTGCTTGTGTGCTAACCAGGAAGCTTTTATTCCAAGCTTGGGCTCTTACTTTGAAAACGAAGTTGGAATGAAGCCACACTTGGTTTTTAGAAGTTCCATCAAACAAGCCACAGGCCCTTTAAGCCTCAGCCTTGTGTGCCCCCCCCGCCCCAGGCCTGGAACCCCTTCTCCCCCAGTCCTGGAGGCCCAGCCCCCACCCCCACCCCGTGCCCACTGGGGACAGCCAGCCCCCAGCCTTCACCACAGCCCGCTACGGCCTTTCTCACATCCTATCATGTGTGTCTGTTTATAAGAAACCGGGACATTTTGTTTATGGCCGACCGTATCACAGGGGACCGGCTGGCCAATTTCCACCCGTGCTGGAGAGGGAGCGTTGGGTGGTCTGACTGAGAACATAAACCAGGCGGCACATGCACGGCTCACCCTCAGAGGACCTGGGGGAGCGGGCTTCAAAGGACAGGGTCTCCAGAGCAGCCCACAGAGGGGCGCCCGCTGTCCCTGAGCTGAGGGCCATGCCCTTGAGGCACCATCCCAGCAGGATTCACATCGTGGGGCACCCACCATGAGCCCCAGATTGAAAGTCGCAACAGGGGACGCCCCACAATCCACACACTGTCTGCAGTTGGGCTGGTCCTCGCGGGGGCGAGAGACCAGTCACAGGATTTCCTTATGCTGGTGACAAGGGCCTCAGAGGGAGGCTGGCACCTGTCTCTTCTGTCCCCGCCAGCCCTCAGGGAGCTCCCGGAAGCCAGGCCTTCGTCCCCATCACCTCCATGGCCTCAGGGTACAGGCTCAAGAATGAGTCCTGCACCCACCACCCTCACCACCCCAGACAAACATTGACATCCGGGCCTCCTTAGCTGTCATGGCACAAATTCCCATCTGACCCGGAGGCATAGGGGACAGGCTGCAGCTGAGGGACCGTTCCAGAGCAAGCAGACCCACGTGGTCCCGCCTGGCACTGCCCGGGCCCAACTCTCCCTTAACGCATCCCTGGGGCAGCCCTTGGACAGACAGAACTAAACTCCTTATGTTTTTGAACTTTACCTTGAGTGCCTAGAATCCAACTGCTCATCACCGTGTTCGGGGGGGAAAAAGAGAAAAAACCACGCTTCAGGGAAGCATGGCCTTGTGAGTCCCCGTATGCACGTGGCTGCAAGGGGTTAAATTCTCCGAACAGGATGCCAGGGTCTGAGTCACATGAGTCCCTGGGCGCCAGGCTGAGCTGGGGTCTCTGTCCCTGCTAGCTGAGCGGGGGCGTGAGCTCCCGCCTCCCTGGCTCCGCCGAGCCCATCAGAAACCCTGGAGCCGAACAAGGCAGCCGTGGGCGAGGGGCCCTGGTGCACGAGGGCCACAGCCGGATCGCAGGCTGGCTGGCACCTCTCACACGGCCCACAGCCCTGCTCCCTGCTGGCACCTCTTCCTTCTCGTCCTCTCCCAGGACCGGGCAGAAAGGTCCAGGGCGTGGGACACAGTGGCCTTTCTCGGTCCTTCCCGGGCAACCACCAGGCATGGCCAAGGGCGAGAGGGCTGGGGTGGGAGGCTGTGACATCACCTCACCGGAACGCACTCAGCCCCGTCTCCCCTCAGCCTGGGACAGCGTGTCCCCGCGTGGCCCACCTAATGGCAGCCGCTCTGAGGCTCTGTCTCCCAGAGGCACCGTCCCCTCCTTAATATGTGAGCTGACACTTATTGAACGGCTGCTGCATGCCAGTCCCTGTGCTAAGCTTCTCTCTGCCTAATCTCAGCGAATCCTCCCCACAGCCCCCGCCCCCCAGAGCCTGCTGCTATCCTGCCCATTCTACAGATGGAGACACTGAGGCTCAGAGAGGTTCCCTACCGCACCCAGGACGCCCCAGCTCACCGGCAGCAGAGCCAGGATTCAAACGCAGGTCTGAACCTCCAAAGCTTTGATGCCGTCCCAGTCCCTGCTGCCTCCCAGCCGTGGGGCTCCAGGGCACCCAGCCTTCCATTTCTGGGGTGCACTCTGACCCCGACTAGCTCAGTGTATCGGTTCTCCAGGCTCTGGCAAGACAGGCTGCTGTGTCAACCTCCCTCTCCTCGCCCGCCGTCACGGGCCTTGACAGGCCCGAGCCACTGAGTGACTGAGCATGTGGTGCCTCCTGAGAGTGTGAGGACCATGGTCTCGGGGTGTCTCACGGGATCACGGTTCCAGGGACCCCGTGAGCCCCGGGTGCAAACTCTGAGCAGAGCCTGGGAGGCGGCAGCTGGCCTGTATCCGACTTCCACATCGCTTGCTGGGGCCCCTGAGTCGCTACGGCCCACGAAGGGGAGGAGCTGGGCCCGCACAGGCCGCCATGCAGGCCAGCTCTCTGGAGGGCCTGCTCCGCCCCCGTCCAGCGCCCCTCACCTGACTGTCGGAGACTTCCGAGGGCTTCTCGGTCAGGCTGCTGCTCTCTGCCTGGATGAGGTCGTTGTACTTGGTGACGTCCTCATCGGAGTAGTGCAGGCTGCCCGGGCTAGGCCGGGGCGGAGACCTAGAGAGAAGGGAGGGGAGGGGGCTGAGAGGTGGCCTCACTCAGAGCAGCCTCTGGTCCCCGGTCCGGGGAGGCCCTGAGAGGCCTGGAGGCAGGAAGGCCCTCGGATCCCTCGCGCTCCTGTGCTGCTCTTCACAGGCCTGTGCCCTGGAAGGTGGCACTTGGGCTGGGGGCCCTGCCTGGGGTGGGGGAGGCCCAGGTGCTGAGGGTGCTGGGCTGAGCTCTTGAATGAGTCCAGGGAAGGTGCGTGTGTGTGTGTGGGGGGGGGGGGGGGGGGGGGGGAGGGCGGTGGGGCACACCTTGATCCTCCACCTGTGCTTCTAGGACCGCAGGCCTCAGCATCACCTGGCAGTGAATGCGACACAGCCCCTAGGCCCCCGAGACCTCCCGAATCGGACTCTCAGGGGAGGCCTGAGCCCTGCACTGTAACAAACTCCACGCACGTCCTAAACTCACAGGTGAGCTTCAGAGTCAGCACTGGGGTCAGAGAGCCAGGAAAGCACCGCCTCCCTCCCTCAGATCGGCTCAGAGATCACAGTGGCTCCCGGCTACGGCTACGTCATGCCCCACCTTTGAGAACTCAGCCCTGGGGAGAGTCGTGCATTTCCAGGTGAGGGAGAGGCCTGGCTGCGAGTCACCAGAGGACACACGCCTGGCACGCCTCCTGCCATGGATGCCTACGGGCTGGAGGCCGGGGCTGCGGGCTCCTGGGCCACGTGGGCTGAGGGTGAGGAGTGGGCAGGCCTGGGGTCCTCCACCACTCTGCCCTCAGGACGGGGTGCGAGGGGGTACTGCCCAGGGCCTGACACCCCAGCCTCTGCCCAGCCTGCTCTGGCACTGTGGCTCTGAGCCCCAGCTGTCCGCACAGAGGCCGGACGCCGCACGCTGCAGAAACGCTGCAGAAACGCTGCTGCTCTGAGAACAGTTCCGTGACCCGGGAACATGTCGCAGGCAACCCCCTGCCCCTCCGGCCTCTGGTGCCGTCTCTGCGCTGATTTTGTTCCAATCGACAGAGCGCGTCTTTACACTAAAAATAAAGCAGGAACAGCACTAGCCAAGGCTTCATGTAGGCAAGACAGGCAAGCACACGGCACGGAGGAGGGAGAAGACGGGTGCCCGGCTCAGCTGCCCTCGTGACATGCAGGTGAGTGGGGGCTGGCACGTCCCCATGGCTGGGTCGGGCTGGAGCCTGGGGCTCGTTTGGCACAGACGGGAATTCGGCGCAGGCCCAGCGGTGCAGGGACAGTCAGGGCTGCGGTGTGTGTACACTGTGGGTGCGAGAGGCAGGCCAGGCCAGGCCGGCGGTGAGACGCCCCTTGTTCTGTGTGGCAGGGCCCTGGAGCCAGCCTGGCGGGACTGTGGTGGCCATGCTGGGCCTGCCACCGAGGCCTCAAATGTCCCTTTCTTTGGAAAGCTGGCTTTCTCAGAGGGTGAGAGTGGGCCTCGTTGGCCAGCACTCCGACCCCCACCGCCACCCCTACCTCCCCCACCCCCCTGAGGAACACACACATCGCCTCTTCCCTCCGGGACCAGACAGAGACGTTTTGTGAGCTGCCCCTGCCCTTGGCCATGGGCAGCCCCGCGGCCGCAGGAGTCGGTAGGAGGGCCTGAGGTTGGACGGACGTGGGGGAGAGAGCTGGCGTGCCACCAACCGCGTCCTTCCTGGTGGGCTCTTAGATGCTGCCCTTGGGGGACGATGCTGAGAGTGCGGACTTGGGGGGCGGGGGGTGGGAGAAAGTGTTCTGCAATGACAGCGGGCATCGGGAGGACCAGGGGAGACGTGGCTACACTCGGGGTGCACTTCCTTTCCCGGGGGGCGGGCAGGTGGGGCGTCCACGATCGTGGGGAGCTCCTGGGGCCTCTCACTCAGGTGGGTCTGCCCAGCCTTGGTCAGGCCCGTCTCCCCTTGGGGGCAAGTGGGTATCATGGCTTCGGGCTGTGCCAGGAACAGCTGGCTTCAGATGGCAGTCGGCCCGTTTGCAAAACTGTGCAAGTTATTGGCCTCCTGCTGTGATTGGCGGAAACCCTGTGTCCCCACCTCCTTTCTCGCCAGTGTGCCCTCGTCCGGGCTGTGGGCCCTGGCCCCTGTCTGTGCTAACTGTTCCACTCACTGGGGTGGAGAGCCGTTTCTGGGACAGGGTGAGGCCGAGTGGGCACTGCCTGCTCTGCGGCCCTCCCCAGCCGGGCACTGCTGACCCTCCAACCCCCGTCCTCCACGCAGAGGGCCGCTACCTGGTGTACAGGCCGTTCTTCCGGCAGAAGGAGTTCTTGACGGAGAGGCGCCGGTTGTTGAGTTCCAGGGCAGGGAAACTGCTCTCATCCAAGCTCATCATCTCCCCATGGCCCAGGGCACCAGCCTTGCCACTGTTCCCTGGGGGGCAGGTTGGCATGGCTCGGTCACGCCATCCCTTCACGCTGGGCAGCGTCCCCTCCCCCGCCTCCCTTCTCCCCACCTGGCCGGCTGCCCCCTCTGTCTCTTGCTAGAGCTGAGACCAGACTAGGAGATGGAGACTGGGTAGGAAGCCCGGGCTGCCCCACCCGTGGGAGCAGATGCACTTCCGGGAGAGACACCTCCACCCGCCCCTGCGAAAGGGAGGCGGACAGGGGAAGGCCCAGCCCCGCCGGCAGGCTGGGTGCTGGCTCACCCGAGTCCGTCTTCTTGGCGTACTTCTTGCTCTGGCCCCGGATGATGAGCACGAAGACCAGGAGCAGGATGAAGATGAGGCCGACCAGGGCGACGACCACCAGGAACCACCACTCCTCGTAGAACGGGTTGGTTTTCTGGGCTGGAACACGGGTGGGGCGTCAGGGCCAGGGTGCTCGGCCCCTCTTGCCTCCAAACCTCCCATGCAGCGGGGTCCCTCCGTCCTGCTCTCGGTCTATGGGTAGGCGGGGCCTGTGCCCTCTGAAGGAGGTCAAGCCTACGACAAGGCTGGGAGGGGCAATCATCTCAAGTGCCAGCTCTGATCAGCTGGGCTCCCTGGAGGCCGTTTCGAGTGCTGAGGTTGCTTCTGGACTCACGAGGAAACAGTGCTGGGATTGATTAGTGATGTCTGCCAGAGACATAGGCTGCAGTGGAGGGATGGTGTGTTTGCTATTTTTTCTTTTTTTATATAAAAGTATATTTTTTATTGATTTCAGAGAGGAAGGGAGAGGGAGAGAGAGATAGAAACATCAGTGATGAGAGAGAATCATTGATCGGCTGCCTCCTGCACGCCTCACACTGGGGATTGAGCCTGCAACCCAGGCATGTGCCTTGACCGGGAATCAAACCATGACATCCTGGTTCATAGGTCGAAGCTCAACCACTGAGCCATGCCGGCCGGGCTCCTTTTACTTTTCCATTGCCGCCCGCGGCCTACCTGGACAGGCAGAGCCAACCTTGCGTTGGAAAGGTGCTTGTCTGGCCTGTGCTGGGCCTGGGAGGGTCTGTCCCCAGGGTCAGTTGGGACGGAATCTTTTTCTGGTAGCAGAAAGCAGGGTGGTTGGGAGAGGACATGGGTGGGTCTTTCAAATGCCTCTCCAGGGAGGGCTCCCCTTCTTTGAAGCCCCCAGTACTTGCTTTCTGTACCCGGCCTGTCTAATCCACGCTGCTGCCTGAGGTGGGGCTGGCTCCTATTTCAGCCCTCAAGCATTTATTTATTTCCCACGATCGGTGCTGTCAATCTGGCAAGGGTGGGAGTAGGTGGGAGGAGGGAGGCGGCGGGGGTTGGAAACTCCCCCGGTGAGTAGAAACTCTGAGTTACATGTCTGCCCTGGGGGAAGGGGCCTTGGTATTAAGTGGTCAGCGCTTAGCTTTGGGGTCATGGGCTTTGGTCGTAGAGGCCCCTTGTGAGCTGAGACACACCGGACGGGAAGAACGGGGAGAGGAGAAGGGGAGGATAGCAGGCTACCCCACCGGGGCCCTGCTCAATCAGGTGGTCCAGGCCTGTCTGTGTGTGCTCTGTGGGCCGCTGACTGTCTGTTTGGGGCTCGGTTTCTATGGAGACACACAGTTCATGGCCGGGCGCCCTTGAATCTCCTGGCTGATGAGCTCAGGAAGCTCCCATGTTGGGCCCACTGATTCATCCACAAGCCGGCTGGGCCCCCTGCCCAGGGCTTCGAAGTCCTTGAAAAGGAACCCACAGGAGCCACTGTCCGTCCCCAGTTTCTTCCGAAGCTGAACCCTGACTTGGGCCCTGGCCCAGGGCTCGCTGCTTTGGGGCACTGAGGGGACAGTGCGTTTCGGGCCCCACCCCAGCGCTCCCAAGGCTCTGCTGCCTCCCCTCCTTCCCCACTGCCCAGCCCCTGCACCCCTCACCCACAGGCCGGTACCTGGCACCGACTGGGAGGGGCTGCTGGGGGTGCCGAAGCCGTAGTCGTTGACTGCAATGACCCGGAAGTCGTAGCTCACGCCTGGCTTCAGGATGTCCATGCTGAACGTGTAGGAGGTCACCTCCTTGGGGATGTCTTTGATGAGGATGTCCCATAGCCCCTCGTCTGCAAGAGCGCAGAAGGGAGGACCCCTGTGAGGGGAGGCCCCGTCCTACCTGTCGCTCCCTGAGAGCGGCCTGTCAGGTCACCTGTCAACTCCACTCTCTAGTGCGGGGAGGCGCGCACCCAGGAGGTCCTCAGGAGATGATAGATACTTGTGCAGTATCTGACACTTTTAGCCTGTTTGTTAAGATTCTATAAAACATTAAACATGTATAACATGCAGAACAGATTGCAACAAGCAACCTGATATCACCATCTAGACAAAGAGATGAGCCTTTTCAGCCCTTATAGGCAGAATTCTGCATATTACTCTTTTTTAAAAAATATATTCTTATTGATTTCAGAGAGGAAGGGAGAGGGAGAGAGATATAGAAACATCAAGGATGAGAGAGAATTGATCGGCTGCCTCCTACATGTCCCGCACTGGGGATCCAGCCCACATCCTGGGCATGTGCCCTTGACCGGGATCAAACAGTGACCTCCTGGTTCATGCTGACTGGGCCTGCATATACTTTTTCCATTGCATTGCAAAGTGCTCCTCACCATTTGGCTGCCTCAGATGTCATCATGTGGTGCCCCCTCCTGTACTTAACCAGGCCCCCATGTTCCTGGTCCCCATCCCTTTTCAAAGCACACACAGTAGTGGCATCAGACAAGAAGAGGACTGTGTTTGAGCAGCTGCAGAAGGGATTGGGGTGACCATGAGGGTTTGGTCAAGTTGCCTGGATTTGAATGGACCCATCCTTAGGTCCCTCCATGCTGAAGAGCAGGGATCAGAGGAGTAGCAGGGACCAGAGAGGGTGGAAGGGATCCCCGTCTGTACTCCACCCATGTTGTCTCCAACTTTTGAGCTCTTGACTTCCCTCTCAGACCCCCAACCCCCACCTTCCGTCTTAACTATTAGCCCAAGATTAATGCAATGGCTCTTCACCCTTTCCCACAGCCTGCCGTCCCCAGCACCAGCCCTCCGCCACGGCTCTGAGTCCTGACCCTTCCGGGGATCCTGGCTCGGTCCCTCCTCTCACCCTAGTCCTTGATCCCGCCCGTGTGGACCAACTCACGGCCCCCAAACCCGGAACACCAGGCCCCACGCCAGGCCTCCCAGGAGACAGCGGAAAATCAACAGGCCGGAGTCCATTCTGGAGCCAACATTCCACAGCCTGGCACCCTGGCCGGCCAGCTTGGGTGGAAAAATCAGGTTCGGGCCCTGGTTGGGAGAAGCACACGGCCGTCTCCAGGCCAACTCAGCAGCCGGCACTGGAGGGCCGGGGCGGGACCATCTGGAGTGGGGAGAGAGCCAGCCGTACACACACCTTCCGGCTACAGGCGGGCTCTGAGCTGCGGTATGTGTTAGCTATTGGTGACTGTAATCATGCGCCTAAGATTAGGGCAAAGATGGGGTGGTAGGTGCCTCCTGGAACCCCTGAAATGAACTACTTGCATTGAGATGACTAGGGCTCGCCTGCCCCAAGGAGCTAACAGCATGTCCCCGGGATGCTCTGATGCCCCCTTAGAAGTGCCACCTCCTGCCATGCCTGGCTACTTCCCATTGTGACTGCCACTTGCTGCTCCTGCAGGAGCAGCAGAGACTGCGTTCAGTGTCTCAGCTTCAGTGGCCTAATCAGGGGTCCACGGAAGACCAGGAACAAGCCTCCGGCTCTGCCGACTCTGGCATCTCTGATGAACTCGGAAGCCTAGCAACCGGGGAGCTGGCAGTGGCTCCGCGGGTAAGGGGAGCCGGGAGGCGCAGGTGTCGCGGCGACTGTGAAACGGGAGCGTGCAGAGCAGCCCCTGCAGCGGCTCATCGGCCGCTCATCTGCTGATGGCTTGGGAAGTTCTTGTGATTCGATTTCAGGCTTGACAGGACAGGTTGGTGTGGTTACGGGAGCTGCCAAGCCAGTCCTGAGGGCGGAGATGGGCCTTAAAGAGGCAGCTGGGTCTCGGGGCGGGGGGGGGGACACAGCCGGCCTCCTTAGGGGACGCTGGTCAGTGGGGCTGCCTGGAGGACATGGGTGTTTAACCTCTGTGAGCTCAACTCTTTGCTCCCCTTGGTTCTTTTATTTTTTTAAAATCCTCACCAGAGGATATTTTCCCATTGATTTTTAGAGAGAGTGGAAGAGAGAGGGAAAGACAAAGAGAAACATCGATGTGAGAGAAACACGAGCCCGGACCAGGGCCCAGCCTGGGGAGGAGCCTGCGACTGCAGTACGTGACCTTGACCAGAATCGAACCCAGGACCCTTTGTTCCGCAGGCTGACGCTCTATTCACCGAGACAATCAGCTAGGGCTCCCCTGGCTTCTTGAACAACCCTCTACCTGAGTGGGTCCTCACCGGGCACTAGGTGCTGCTCTCTGGGGACTTCGGGGGTGTTCCTTAACTAAGGGTGCACCTCCCTGCTCCCCACTCCCACAGCCACCTATAGCTTCGCCTGGAGAAGCACCCGCGCCATCACAGGTGCCGATGACAGGAGCGCACCAGGTGGAGGGACTCGGGAAGGAGGCAGGAAGTGAGACGGGGGCTCCACAGGGACAGCGGCTCAGCCAGGGCGGGTATACCTGACGGCCTGGCCTCTATGACGTAGCGGGTGACGGGCCCTTTGCCGGGGTCTCCGCTGGACCAGTGGATGGCGATGGCGGAGCTGTACCGCACGATGATGGGCACTCCAGGCGGTCCCGGGGCACCTGCAAACGGCACACGTGGGCCAGGGATGCAGGGCACCAACGGGCACCCTGCCTGCCTCCCGGTGCCCCAGCTGGAGGGGCTGGCCCGAAAAACCAGCCCCGCCCGAGTCCCGGGAAACCCTGCAGGGTGAGGTCGGGGGAGTGTGTCTAAGGCTTGACCTGCTGATTCTTCCCTGTGTCTTACTCCCTCTTTCCCCCCAATTCCAAGTTTCAGGGCAGGAGAGGGACCCTGGGGTGATGCTAGAAAGGTCCCTGGAGCAGATTCAGGAGACCCGGGTGCCTAGTCCAACCCAGAACCATTAGATGGGTGACCGATCAGTTCACATAGCCCTCCGGTGCCTCAGTTCCCCACCTGTACAGGCCTTTTGGAATGCAAGGCCTGAAGGGATGTGTCATGGGGCAGTGGAGGCGGGCAGGACAATGGCAGAGCGGGCCCATGATAGGGGGAGGTTGCTTTTGGGGGGCTGAGTGAGCCCCTGACATCTCCCCTCCTGGCCTATGAGGGCACTGTCCCCCCCACCGCCTGTCTGAAATCCTCCAGCGCAGCCGCACTGGCTGTAAGGCAGGGGGAGAGGAGGCTGGGCCGCAGGAGAACCTGGGCCCTACTGCTTGGAGAGGAGGAAGAGCCGGGCTCCAGGGCCAGTTCTCCTGGCGAGGCAGGCGGTCAGGTAGCAGCCAGCCCGGGAGCCGGAGCAGCAGGAAGCTCACTTGGTAGTAAGAGGAGGGAGCCGGTTTTATCCGCCCCGGGTCCCGGGCCCCTTCTGTCTGGGGTGTCCTGCAGCATAGGCCAGTGCCTGTCCTCTGGCCCCCACTGTCCCCCTGGGCCCCAACCCTGAGTGCTGTCACTCATTTGATGTGCAGCCCTGCCTGCTCAGAGCCGGGCACACAGTAGGTGCTTCCTATGTGCTGGTGGGGCCAGGGAGCCAGTGATGGGTGACTGGCTGCTGAGCGAGTGTGGGTGGCCCTGGTGGACGCCTCTGGGAAAGGGGCTTCGGATGGAAGATCCCTGGGCCCAGGAGCTGGCGGGCCGGACCGGAGGCCAGGGACTCAGTGACAGAGCTGGGCAGCCCAATGCCCGCCCGCGCCCAGTCCCCACCCACGACCTTGAGGACCGAGTTTCCTTCCTTCCTTCCCTAATGTGTGTCCTGCCCGCAGTGGGACAGCCCCAGGGAGGTGTGAAGGGTGGGGCGGGGCTTTTAGGACCCTGAGTTCTTGCTCAGGGCTGAGAGATGGAGCTGTCAGTCATCTCCTGGACCACTGCCTGGCTTGGGGGGAGGGGAGGGAGGAGCATGGGAGCTGCTTTTCCTCCCTGCAGACCCTCTTCACTCACACCTGCAGGGGGCAGCTCAGCTCTTCCTTAACCCCCCTCACCCCCCGCCCTGTACTTCCTGTCCCCTGGCCTGCCCCCAGGACTCAGGTTAGAACAGTCTGTCCAGATGGGCATCTCCTGTCCCCATGCCACTGCTCGGCTGACAGCTCTCTTCCTGCTTTTGTTTCCCAGGAAAGCAGGCTCAGGTGAGAGGCCCACAGGGAGGGGCAGGGGCAGGGCAGAGGGGGGCCGGTGGCTCCAGGCGGCTCTCCCTGCAGCCCTGCGGCCTTGTTCCCATGGAGCCTGAGCCACACAGCTTCTCTGCAGAGCCAGGGGCGGGAAGGGAAGGTGCCCAGAAAGAGAAAGTGAAGGGCGGCCTGAAACGGCTGGGAGGGCAAACCCATCCTGCAGGTGAGCGGTGGGCAAGGCAGCCTCTCGGGGCCCAGCTCACATTCCAGAGGCCAGGCTAAGCCAGGCACTGGTGCAAGGAGGCCTGGTCCGTGGGGCAGGGGGGAGGGAGGAGGGGGAGGGATTTCAGGAAAAGTGTGGGATGGGCTGTGTTCTCTCAGGAAGGGAGGGAAGAGAGTGGCCTGGGAGGCAGGTGGCTTTGTGTTCAGGAGGGGACATTCTGCAGGGGTGACAGGGACTTTGGAGAGCTAAGCCCCAACCACCGTGGGTCCTAAGACATCCCCCAGCCCATGGACGACCTCAAGAGGTGTCACAAGACCCAAACCAAGCCACGCTTTCCTCTCTGGCCTCCAGCGCTCCCCTCCCTGCCCCTCCCCTCCCGCCTTAGGTGGGTACACTGCTGTGTTGCTCCTTTCTTCCCCTCCCCGAAACCTTGCCAGCCTGTCACCTCTGTCCAGGAAGGAGGCAGCCGGCAGGTGCTCCCGCCTTTAGCTCAGTCAGAGTCGCCTTCCTGCCTCCCCCCCCCCATCAGTGGTTCTCACAGCGGGTGCCAAAGAGACCCCCTCGGTCTTGCTCAAATGCACATTCCCAAGCAGATGCTCAGAGATTCCGATTTCCTGGGGCCCAGGAACCTGCACTTATCAAAAGAACCCCAGGGGTTCTGACCTCAGCGGCACCCTGAGACACTTCTGATGTCATGGGTGACCCTGACAGCCCAGCCACCTTCTCCCTCACCTCCATCAACGCACTGCACAGGCCCACACTGTGCTCTTGAGGTGCGGTGTGTCTGCCTGTGTCTGCTGTCCCCTGGCCCGGGAGCTCCGCCGGGGACCCCATCTTGCTCTTCCCGGTGTCTGGACACCCCTTCCCGCGTGGGGGGCTGAATGCCGTGTGTGGAGGGCGGCAGGTCCCAGGCCCGCCGAAGCTCCCCTACCTTCGCCCGGGCCCGTGGTGACATTGGCCTCGATCTCGGGCCCGTAGGTGAAGGTCTTGGCTCTGATGCGGAACCGGTAGGTCATGCCCTCCGCCAGGTCCTTCACCTTCAGCCACAGGGGGCTGTTCCCCTTCACGTCCACTGTCACGATCTTGCTGACTCCTGGGGGGAAAGCAAAGGATGTGGGCACTGCGGGGCCAGCAGGGGCCTGGGGGCGGGGGCAGCGGACACGAGGCCAGGCCGGCACCCTCGGGCACACAGCAGTGTCTCCCAGACTGATTCTCAGGCCACAGTCCTCCAGGCTGTGCCTAGACCGTGGTCGGCAAACTGCGGCTCACGAGCCACATGCGGCTCTTTGGCCCCTTGAGTGTGGCTCTTCCTAAGCCTTAGGAGCACCCTAATTAAGTTAATAACAATGTACCTACCTATATAGTTTAAGTTTAAAATATTTGGCTCTCAAAAGAAATTTCAATCGTTGTACTGTTGATATTTGGCTCTGTTGACTAATGAGTTTGCCGACCACTGGCCTAGGAGAAAGGGCCCCACGGCTAAACGGGCTTCAGAAAGGCTACATACTGCCTGCCTCCGAAATGACCACAGGTCCTTTTGCATCTGGAGGGAAAAGCAATGCACCATCCCGTTTAACTTAATAATTGTGCCCCAATACATTTTATAGCCCATTTTTGTTCCCCTCGTCACATCCTGTCAAACTCCAACTCCATCTTTCAGGAAGTGCTTCTGTAAAGACAGCGTAGCCCAGAGTTGGAGGGAACACACCTGCAGCCAGCTGAGGACAACCTGAGCCCCTACAGCCAGGAAAACCTGAACCCCTACAGCCAGGAAAACCTGAGCCCCTACAGCCAGGAAAACCTGAGCCCCTACAGCTAGGAAAACCTGAACCCCTACAGCCAGGACAACCTGAACCCCTACAGCCAGGAAAACCTGAGCCCCGACAGCCAGGACAACCTGAACCCCTACAGCCAGGACAACCTGAGCCCCGACAGCCAGGACAACCTGAGCCCCTACAGCCAGGACAACCTGAGTCCCTACAGCCAGGACAACTTCAGCATAGCCTGGGCTTCTAATGACAGAGTGAGCTGGGAGCTCACACCAGGGTCCCCCTGTCAACTGCACCCCAAACTGTGGCAATTAGAGGGGAGGCCTGGATGGTTTTCAGGAGGTGAGAGTTGGCGCTCTGTGTTTCACAGATCCAAACCACACCTCCCCCCGGCCAGTTGAACTGGCAAAGGTTAAACATCCATGTCCTCCAGGCAACCCCACTGACCAGCACCCCGTCAGGAGACCACTGTCCCCCCTGAGAGCCAGGACTGCCTTTCAGCTCCCATGTCCACTGAGCACACGGTCACTGCTGGGAGACTGGCTCCGCAGCCTGCGGGCTGCACTCAGACCCCAGCACTGGCCCCAGGGGCCTTGTGCATGTCCCCCAGCGTCCGTGTGTCCTTCCGCTGAGTGAGGGCATCCGTCGCATCTAAGGCTGGATGTTATGAGGCTAAAAAAACCGGCAGAGCACCTGACACGTGGTAGGTGCCCGATCTACGCATTGAATAAATAAAGTGCTGAGTGACAGACGGGGGGCGCTCAAGAGGTGCTTCCTGCAGGAATGAGGAGATCTGGGGGCGACGTGGGGACACGCCCAGGACCGGAGCAGCAGCTCTGGGTACCTGCTCCTTGGCATTTCTGAGCAAACCCCTCATCGGCATGGACCTGGGTTTTCCCTGAGGAAAGGGGGTCCTGGGTGCTCAGGCGGCCTGCTGACCTGAGCCCAGGGCTGAGGCACCCACCAGGGGTGCAGACGCCGCGCTGGCCAGACTGGGTGTCGCCTAGCCGCACGCAGGGCTGCAGGATTCTATCAGCTGGGCCACCACGGGGCAGACGGGAATATGGAAGGGTGTGGGGACATGGGGTCCAGACCCTGCTGGACAGAGGGACCAAAGGCAAAGCTCTCACGCCTCTCAAGGGCAGGCCGGGTGGAGGCCACCGTGACGAGTGCGCGCCTGTCCCGTCCCCGTGTCCCCTCCCCGTGACCTCTGTCCTCTCCTTCCCGCCCTTGGGAGAGATGGCCCCTTTCCCGGGCCTGCACCTGACCAGGTCTCCCAGGGCTGGCTCCCCTGCTGGCCCAGCACACAGTGCCACTCTGCAGACAGGAGGCTGCTGGCACGCAGGTAGTGGCGGCGAAGACTGAGGGCCATTGTTCCCCGGCTGACCCAGAACTGCTGGCCAGGTTCAGTTGTCGGGGAGCAGGGAGAGGGAGGGGTAAGCCCAAGGTGGTCACCTCTGGCAACCAGGGTGCCAGCTGGTAGGCCAGCCACATCCCCAAGGTCTTGCTGGGCTCCGGAACTGGACGCAGGCCGCTGGGAGCCCAGCCTCCTTCCCGCTTCTCTAAGCCACTAGCTGTGATTCTGGGCTAACCCACCTGGGGGGCCCGGGAGTGGGCCAGGGTTCCAGCCAGGGCCTGGAGGGCGGGGCGGGGCAGGGGCTACAGAGAGGCTCTGAAGACAGCCCAGGGTCAGAGGGAGAACTCTGAGGTCAGGGTTCATGATCAGAGGCTCACAGAGCGAGCGGGGTGCAATGCCCCCCAAACTTGTGCATCCTTCTGGGGAGAGGCTCTCATCTTTCATCAGATTCTCCAAGCGGCTCCTGACTCCACAGAAGGCAGAGAAAGCTGAACCCAGAGAAAGGCTGGACCTAAATTCTGGGGGGCATGCCTGGGCCAGGACCATCAGGCCCTCCCCTCATCTTCACAGGCCGACAGAGACCTGTCCAGCTTGGGATGCTGTGTCTCTCCCAGGTGTCCCTTCTCCCCCCTGCCTCCCTCCACGTCTCCCCCTCCCCTCCGACTGCCATCGACTTTCGGACAAGAAGAGATTGAAAACTTTAACCTGGGAGTTAGGAGACCTGGGCCGCTCCTCAGCCTCCCCCCCAACTTGTTTCACCTCAGAATTCCCCTTCCCTTGTCCTGTTCCCCTCCCCTCCCCCCCGACTGCCATGGACTTTCAGACAAGAAGAGATTGAAAACTTTTACCTGGGAGTTAGGAGACCTGGGCCGCTCCCCAGCCTCCCCCCCAACTTGTTTCACCTCAGAATTCCCCTTCCCTTGTCCTGGCCTCAGTTTCCTATTTAGAAGCTGGGAGGTGCTGGCCACATGGACTGCAGTGACGGCGAGGGGACCCCGGCTGGGAGAGAGCCGCCTCGAGGTGGGTGTCAGGCACGCGCTGGGGTCCCACTCACCGTCCACGGGGGTGCAGGGCTCGTACACCAGCCGGTAGCCCTCCAGGACGCCGTTGGGGAACTGCGGGGCCTCCCAGGACACGTTCACCGAGGTGGTGGTCAGCTCGCTGAACTTGACCGAGCTGGGAGCACTGGGGGCTGCGGGGGAGACAGCACTGGGTTTTCTTCCTCCTCCCCCCGACTTTCAAAGCCCCATTCGGCTCCCAGGAGCCAGCAGGGGTGGGGGCCCGGGAAGCAGAGAGCAGGGCTCTGAACGGACAGGGCAGGAGGGGTCGCCAGGGGTCATGGGACCCCCCTCCTCTCCACTGCATCTCAACACTCGCTTTCCAACCTCAGAGTCCAAGAATTCTTTGCCTAAAGTTAGAGAACTCGGGTTCCTCCTGCTAAGGGGCCCCTAGCCCTGGCTCAGAGCCCAGGCCCAGCTGGGTCCTGCCCCAGGGTCTCTGGGGGGCCAGGCCGTGTCCTGGTTTTGTGGGGCATCTCTCTCAGCTTCCCGGGGAGAGGGCAGGGGGTGCCTGGGCCTCAGAGCATCAGGTGGGCACTGAATAGATGGCAGAGCCGCCGTTTCTCTCGTCCCCGGGGCCGGGGCTCGACGCCCAGAGACCACGCTGTCACACGCAGCCAGAGCCAGGGACAGCCAAGCCCCTTGGAAGAGCCGCCTTTCTGGCCTGAGGACCCGGGAGCAACCCAACACCATGGGGATGGGTGCTCTGGGGGCGGACGGGGAGGACGGGAAGGAAGCCTCCATGGGTAGCATCCCGAGCTGGCTCCAGCGGGATGGCCCGGCTATTATTGTCGGGGCCACCCCCACGGAGCTGGAGCTGACCCCGACCCCGCTTCCGCCCAGCTCCGTCCAGCCCGGGACAGGCCGCGCCAGCGAGCAGCCTTTGAAGGAGGCAGGCGAGCTCAGGGGCCCTTCCGGCCTCCGCTCGGCTGGAGGGACGTGGGACAGAACACGGTGTCCTGCTGTGTCCGTGACACAGGCTTCCAGGCTCCCGGGGCTCACACCCGGCTGACGACACCGACAGAGAATGGTCAGGACAGGCAGGCGGACAGACACACAGATTCTCAGAGCGGAGGAGGGACAGGGTTTTCCTGGAGCCAGGCTCGTCCCCAAAGAAGAGAAAAGGCCACTTACAGAATGGGAGGCAGCAGGTCGGGAAAGACACTCAGGGAAGTCAGGACGAAAGGCGGGGGTGCAAACCCGCAAGGACAGAACTCCGTGACAGGCCAAGGAGGGGGCCTGGCGACGGCTTGGGACCAGCTCAGAGACCCGTCTCCAGCCTCTAATGCCCCTCATCCGGCGGGGGGACACTGGGAGGCATCACATCCAGGCCACCCATGTTCACCACGGGTAGGGGCACCCCGGCCCTGCCCATCCCCAGGGCTTCCGAAGGCTCAGGTGGAATCTGCCTGAGAAGTGACTGTGGACAGTACGCAGAGGGCTGGATCCGCCCCTGTGGCAGCAGGACGCCTACCTCGTCCTCCCCCCGGCCTCCCTGCCTCCATCCTCTCCCCACAGCAGTCTGTCTTTTGAAGAGCAGTCAGAGCCATCTTTCAAAAACACTATCTATCCCGGCCTGCGTGGCTCAGTGGTTGAGCGTCAACCTACGAACCAGGAAGTCACGGTTCGATTCCCAGTCAGGGCACATGCCCAGGTTGCAACTCGATCCCCAGTGTGGGGCGTGCAGGAGGCAGCCAATCAATGATTCCCTCTCATTATTGATGTTTTTCTCTCTATCTCTCCCTTTCCCTTCCTCTCTGAAATCAATACAAATATACAAAAAAATAAAAATAAAAACACAAACCAGATCCTGTTGCCCAGCCGCTTAAACCTGCCAGCGGCTTTCGTCACACTTCGATCATCCCGACTTCCTCCCCCGGCCTCCGGACCCTCCAGAACAGGGCCCCCGTGTTCTCGCCAGCCACCTGGCTTCCTCTCGGTCCCTCTGATCCCCTCCAGCCTCCGGACCGTGGCACCTGCTCTACCCTCTGGCCGGAACCCCCCTCCTCCGGCACCTCCCATGGCCTCTTCTCCCTCCTGTCAGCTCAGATGTCACCCCTCAGGGACGCCTCTGCAGGCAAACCTGCCCACAGCCACCTGTCCGTCCCCTGCCTCTGTCCTCCGTCCCGGCACAGCCACCAGAGGTTAATGCACCTCTGTGCGGTGTGTGATCTGTCTCCGTCCTCGGGGTGGGGAGTGGGTGGTGCTGTGGTCCCAGCACCTGGCACGTGTAGGTGGGAACAGGCAGGGAGAAGTGGGCTGGCTGGGCCTGGACTGGCCATGGGCAAGGCGGGCTATAGGGGCA